TGATTACACTGTAAATGATAATCTACCTTAACCAAAATCAAAGTAGACTATCACTCACCCACACCAGATGGAAACTCTACAGACTGTCGGTTCACACCCCATCACAAGCCAGCAAAACATCCACGAAACAAAGATATATATATTGTCACATCACTACAAACTAAAAGAGCGCACTTTGCGGAACAAAGAATAAAAGCAAAAAACGGGCATACATACATATATATCGTCAAACAGAGCTGCCCGGTAAACCGTGGGCAGAGAGGGAGAAGAGGAGAAGAAACAAGGGGCTGTGAGAAACTGTTCCGTTGGAGTTTCACCGACTCATCCGGAGGCTATACCTGTAGATGTTGTCCTCTTTTCGAATGAGATTCAGCTGCCCTTTGCAAACCCCGGCACAAAACCATAGAACAAGACGATTTGTGAAAAAGAAGCTGAAGATCCGTGCGCCGATGCCCGCTTGCCTAAGCCATCTTCCCACTGTCGCACTCCTGGAAACCAATCAGTGAATGAAGTGTCAGCGTTCCAGACGGCATACTCCTGGTTATCAAATCCCTTTTGCATGTGACCATGCGATGTGGCAACTCTCTGAGGGCATATACTCACACTAGGACTCTTTCTGCTAAGCTCTCGATGTTATTGCCGTCAGATACATTCAGGAAAGTACTGCTGTTAGTGTGTCCTCAGGAAGTACATGTGCAGCATTTTGCAGTCACAAGGCACACACACACACACACACACACACACACACACACACACACACACACACACACACACACACACACACACACACACACACACAAGAACTAAGAAGAACCAAAAACAAACGAAAGAATAGAAAATAGCAGCACCTGTCATTGACAGCACCCCCTCTCTGCAAGTGGGGGCTCCAAGGCACCTGTTATGGTGGCGAGCACAGTCAGTCAGTAAATTGAACTTGGGTTTAGGCCCTTTAGGGGCAACTAACTGCAAAGGTTTAGCCACCAGGGGGCTCTACTAATTTTCCCTTGACAATAATAATAATAAGGCTTACTGCCCAGTCCAAATGAATTTAATGAATCGAGAGTTTCAAGACCCAAGAAACAAAAAAGAAAGGTCCTGAAATTTCCAGAACGACTCATTTTCGATTGTCAAGTTTGCCTGGGGGGTGTGGTGGCCCCAACTCCCGAGCACTATACCGTCAAAAAAAAACAAAAAAACACACAGAAAGGTGGAGCCAACCAAAAAAGCTTCAGAAAAAGGAAATCCCAAACTGCTCAAAAGGGACACATTCTGTTGGCATGAGCAGTCAGTCAGTAAACTAATGCAGGTTACAACCAAAGCTCACTACGCACTATGGGAAAGAGTGGCAGCTATTTGGAAAAAAGTAACAAGCACAAGTCTACCCGACAGTCGTCCACTGGTCCTTCTTGGACTTGACAACACAAACACAGGACTAGCAGGAGAGAGAACCCTTTCCCACACGCTGAGAAAAGCGGCACTATGGATCATATGGAAAAAGGGATGCCAAGAGACTATCGATAAGAGTAAGATAAGATAAAAGTCGAAGAAGCATGGACTCTACTACAACAACAAGTAGAGACGGAATACTGGGTCTTGTGGAGAAAGGTGAGGGAAAAGATGGAAGACAATGAAGACAAAGCCACAGAATACCAACACAAATTCGAAGAGAACCAATCAGCGAAGGGCAAAGTAGTGGTCATCAGGGGCACTGGTAGTCTAGTTTTCGCACTCTGGGAGGCAGGACAACAAAACAACATCAGGGGCACTAGTCTAGTTTTCTCACTCTGGGAGGCAGGACAGCATAACAACGCATCAAACGGCCTTAGGAGCATTAGCACAGCAGCATCCTCGGAATTCAATATATCCTCAGTCTAACACCACCACAGACAGGAGGGGACAAAGGATAGAGATAGAGAACATGGGATACGGGGGAGGAATAAAAACAGGAATACGGAGACACTGATCACATTGATCGCAACGCACTGGCAAGCCGATGAGGGGTAGACACTGGATCACCGAACGTACCTCACTGACACGTCCATAGGCACCAAACAAGAATCCTCACAGCTCAGTAGGTTACCAAAGGACACAGGAGAAGGTCAGGCGCCTGCTCCTAAGGCAAAAATACGCGAGTATAGAACACAAGCAGAAGACAAGTAGGGCACAGCCCTAGCATGCAAAACTACGGAGTCTGTAGTTCCCCTAGGGTTCGAGGTCAGCCAGTCCCAGAACGAGGAATTGTACCGGACAATGAGAGAATTTAGAGTCGGACTGTTGGACTCCACAAGAATAGTCACAGAGATATCACAGGGCTGTAGGCCAGGGCTACCCAGAGGTCTAAGATTACAGGGGTTTCGGGTTTTAATAAAGTAAGCAAGAAAATCCGAACTAGCTGTCCCAGCAACCCATGCAAATCCAACAGCCAGGCAGCCGAGAGGTGCAAGTTAGAGATGGCTCCCACGGGTAGGCTATAAAAAGCTATAAGCAGGACCGTAAGAGAAAAAAACAGCACAGTTCATGAGTACGTCAATCAGGCTAGTGCAAGGAACCCGACTGTTCATCACTTGCTGGAGTGCAACAGATCACATGCATATACACAGATTTCACAGATTGCAATGTCTCACACAAAGCCCAATAAAAAATGAATGAGAACCAGGAAGCTCAACTCAATTATCATAACCAGATTAAGAGAGGAATTTCGTGAGTCCAAAATGTATAACGCTGAATAGAGTTACAAGTCTTCTTCAGTCAACATGACTTCCAACTTCCAAGCCTGGCGCTCATCAGCGCCAGCTGCCAAAGATCAACAACAGCGCTCAACAGGTAAGTGTCACCATAGCTCACACCTCCCCCTCTCTCGTCTGCCTTCTTCTCTCTCTCCCTCTATGTCTATTGTCCTGGTCTACTCCCACTCTTTATGCATGCACACTCCCTATCACACGAGGATCTACTTTGAATACTACTCACTGAACTCTCCTACTAACCATCCCTACTAATGTACTAACTAGCGCTGGCGCAGCTATGGCTGCCTTCCCTCTAGCCAGCACTCTCTTCACTCTCACATAGTGCTGCTCTTCAGCCCAGCGCAGGCCACACACATCTGGTGCACAAGTGCCACGGCACTTCCTCACTCTCATGCGAAGTGAGCATCTGCCAAATGGGAGGCTGGCCAGTCCTTTATAGTGCTGGACTGGCCTGGCGTGCCCTGCATTCAGCCTCAAGTGTCTGGGACTCCTGCCCAGTACCCGTTGTTGCAAAGTGTGTGTCCCAGTATCTTTTCCCATGGTCCGCTGCTGCTTTGGGCCATCGGGCTTGTCTTTTGGACTCCTGGTCTGAATCAGGACTGACTCGTGGGATTATGACTGAACTGGGACTGTGGCCTTTAGACTCATTGCCGAACAGACATGACTTTCCATCGAGGAGACATGACCCTAACTCAGTCTAGAAAACTGTGTCCAATACCTGTTCGTGCAGGACCTGTTTGTGACTGTTCAAAACAACTTTTCATTTCATTATGGATGCGACATTTGCCTCAGCAACTTTGTCCTTTGGGTTGCAGCTCATGAATCTAAGTTCTGGCCGACAGTGCCCCTCGCTGTTAGGGCATTCATCTGGGGTCTAATTCGTAAAGGCCCTTTTACTAGCTTCGGCAGGTGTGAGGGGTGCTCCATCCTTCCCTCGGGAACTAATCAATGCTGCCTGTCGGACCTTCCCACCGTAAGGGGAAGAGCGTGTGTGAGTACTCTTTGTATCCTTTCTGACTTGCCGTTGGAATAGGAACCAAACTGATGCGCCCCAGAATGGAAAAGGAGCCGGAATCTTCAGGAAGTTAAGGTTCTGTTTTTATTTTCATTTTTATAATAATAATAATAATAATAATAATAATAATAATAATAATAATAATAATAATAACCTTTACGTTTCGAATAGCATGCCCGGGTGAGCCGGGACACTGGACCCGGTTTCCAGCTATAGCCTAGCTTGGGGTTACGGCCCCCGGACGCTAGACCTGGTTTCCAGCTATAGCCTAACTGGGTACTGACCCCAGTACCTTAAGGGTTGAGATGTTGAGGGATCCCCGCCCTCATGTTCTTCATCATAATAAAAAAGCATCTTTTCTTCAAAAAAAAAAGAAGAAAAAGAAAAAGAAACGCATGCCGGGGTGAACACTCACATCGAGTCGTATGACAATCGCTGCTGAAGCACAGATCAGAAGGAAATCAATCTGAACCAGATTATAACATTCGAGGTCTGTTATGATCTCTCTTCCCGATGTAAGGTGCAGAGCCACCTTACCCATGATTCTTTTCCTTTTTTTCTTTAAATATGTGTGTCATCCTTGCACAAGGGCCATTCTAACCTTCTCTGCATCTCTGCAAAATGCCACTAAGGGGGGGGGGGGACCAGACTGCTGATGTTCATAGGGGGGAGGGACCGGTGGGGAGGCACAGAGGTTGGCCCATCGAAGAAGCTCGGTCCTGATGCTACCAGCTGACCCCTGGCCGGTATCACCCACCTGCTGTAGCAGGTATCACACCGGCTGGTGGGTGCAGCTCCCGCATGTTCCCTCGTTGGAGGCTTGAGCACAGATGTGGCTGCTACGGGGTTCCTCGTGATACCATGATGACAATAAAAAAGGCCTGCAAGGCCATCCTGTCCAGATTTGACAGGCAGAGCCTGCGAATGGCTGGCTGTAATTGCGCCCAGCTGCCCCCGGCTGGACCCGGCAGCTGCGGGCAGGTCTGGCTAGCCCATGCCCCACCTGGTGAGGTGTGGCCAGGTGATGGGAGGATGGCCCTGGGCCGAGTCGGGGGCAATTGTGGTGAAAAAAAAAGGGGCCCATTGTGTGTGGCATTTTGTAAAATGGCCAGGTGTGGGCAGGTCTAGGCTTGGCACGGGTCACCCGCCAAAAAGATATGCATGTATATGCATGTGGGGGTCTAAACCCATGCATATATGTCTATTGGGCTACCGACCACTCTTTTTCGTGATTTGTGTTTTTCCTAACAGACCACTGGTTTGCTGGAGGTGTGGCCTGGGTGGGGGCAGGTGGTGAAAAATAGGTCTGGGTCTAGACAGGTCCGGCTGCAATTCTTCTTCAAGGTCTGGGCTCGGGCGGGTCCGGGTTTGTACGCTCAAATTGGGCCCAGCTGCGGCTGGGCCAGGTTGTGAGGATTTTTAACCGCAGTTATGGCTGGCTGCCACTGCCAATTATTATGGATCATGGCTACGATCCGGACCCTCGGAAAGGGGTCCGGACTCTCTGGGATTCCGGATCCGGTACCACTTCCCGGTAACCGGTCCGGATGGAGGGCCCCCAGGCCAATGGCCAAATTCGTTTAGGGTGGCCCAGGGCGTTTTTTCACACCCTGGGCCGCCCCAAAAAAAATGGCCCATATTTTTTTGGGCCTTTGGCCTTCCCCCGCGCCATTTTTCGAAGGCATCTCCCCGTAGCGGCAACGTGCGCGTGGGGCTGTAGCGAGCAGCTGCGCAACTATGTTATGGATGTTCAATATGGGTCGGGTGTGGCTGTAGGAGAAGTAGGACCTTGCGAGCTCTGTTGACAGGTAATTGAGTTGGTGGGGCTTAAAAGAATTAGCCTTAAAAAAAAAAAAAAAAAAAAAAAAAAAAACCCTTCTCTTCGTCGTTCCACTTTTAATGGATAAACAGTCTCAACGCAGTTGGTAATATAAAAAAAGAAAACGTAACTTTAAAAGTTAAAACACAGAAAATTCTAAAGCAAAACACGGAAAAGTTAGGAAATAATGCAATTGACTCACCATACATCGGCTTGTTTGCTGAGTGTTGGAGCATTCACAATGTTGTCAATCCACTTTTCCTGTAAGTTACAAACATGGGGGGAGCACCAGGAGCAAGAATACCGAAAGGGAAGAAAAGAGGGAAGAAAAAACGACAAAGAAAAAAACATCGGAGGGGCGACCACCAGGAGAAAGAATACCGAAAGGGAAGAAAAGAGGAGGAAAAACAAGAAAGAAATAAACAGGAGGAAAAACAACAAAGAAATAAACAGGAGGAAAAACAACAAAGAAACAAGCATTGGAGGGTGGAGCACCAGGAGAATGAATACCGAAAGTGAAGAAAAGAGAGAAGAAAAGAGAGAAGAAAAGAGAGAAGAAAAAAGGACAAAAAAATAAACATCAGAGATTGATTGACTAAGTTGTGTCATGATCATGTGGGGAAGAATCCGTCGTCTGAAGTGTACATCCTGATCATGCATAGAATAAGAAAACTCAGCAAAAGATACAATAATGTTACATGGCAAGACAATGAGAAGAAGGAGGGTGAGAAGATCATAATTATTTCAGATGATATATATTATATAATTATTAATTAACGAATACAATGTTCATGTCCTCCTCTCCAACTTCTGTCCCCAGGCGTCCTTCCTCGTAATCACCACCACCTCACAGTGTCATTCTCCTATTTGTCGAAAACTTGGAAACCAATATCAAGTTAGCAACAGAAGAAGAAGAAGAAAAAGAAAAAACCAAACCACTGAGAAGTTGGCTACGGTGCCATACTCCCATTTATTTCAAAGCGCGTTCGTGAAAGCAGTATTTCCTGACTCTCCTGCGATTTGCTGACCACAACCCTCACAAGATGGTTCGAACTTCAAACCGTTTTTTTTTTTTTTTTAGATTGAAAAAGAAAAGAAAAGAAAAGAAAAAGAAAAGATGGTTCAAACTTACAGACTGATGGTTGGCTACATAGCATCTGCCCTTTCCTTAGACTGAGGCAGGGGTCCGCAGACAGTGCAGAGGCCAAAGATGGTTCAACCTCAATGCTTCTTTTAGCAGTACCCTTTTTGTGTCACATCACGTCCGCTCCTGTCGTTACCTCCTTACACTCCTCTCCCTATCTCTCCCTTCCCAACTGCTCACTTCCTTGGCTGTTGGGGTCTCCGCAGCCGAGCAACAGTACACATTCAAACACCAGACTGAGCACGCATGCACAAGCTTGCTGTGACAACGAGCTCCTCAGCGAGTTGACATTCATGTAACACTGTCCTGGCATGATCTTGTCATGGTAGTCATACTCCTTACTCCTTGTCAGGCAGCCATAGCTCCCTTGAATTGCCAGCATTCCTGCTTCTTGATTCTTGGCAAAGACTTCTTTTTTTTTTTTTCCTATGGTAGGATTGGTAGGTATACATGAATCTGCATTCCTGCTTCTTGATTCTTGTTAGGAAGCCCTACCGCTCATCCCTTGCCAGATTGGTAGATTCCTTTCCCTCCCTGCCCCCCCCTTTCACTTGCCAGTGTCCTATTTTCTAGGGGAGGCTTTGCCTTCCTTGCAGCAATTCTGGTCCTTCTGGAACCTACCCTACAGTAGTTCTTAGCTGGCTAAAGGCCAGATCCCACTGACAAAGAGGATTGTAGTAAGTGTCTGAATGTGGACTTGTTTGTGGACAGGTGCGAAAAATTGTGATTGTGATTGATCTGCTGTTCTGCACCCCTGCGTGGAACACGTCCAGATTTTCAGACACCTCTTCCAATCCTCTTTGCCAGTGGGATCTGGCCCTAAGTGTCACTGAGCAATATCTAGGGGCAGGCTGCACTGATACTAGATTCATACTCAAATCTTCATGCCTTCTTTCCACAAACATACCACCACCACGACCTGCCCCTTGCAATCCAATCCAAATGTCTTCGCTATTCGGATTGTCGTTAGCTTCGCTCATCTGTCGAGTTTTGCAACGAGTCTGTCAGTTGTGACGGGCTTGCACAAGTTGAAAATACAAGTATCCACAATGCACTCAAAATGGAAACATGCACAATGCAGAATATGTCCAGACTCCAAAGTTATGTAATAAAGCTGTGTTTTTGTTCTTTTTTTCCTGGGCTGGTGCTGACTTCCTCTCTCTACCCCACCCTCCTCTCCCTTCTCTACCCTTGCTCAGCAGCGATCTGGCCACCAGCGTGTGCGAGGCAGAATGAACGAGACGCTGCAGCTGGCCACGCTTTCACAGCCTGTTGGCCGGACAAGGCCGGCCACGGCTTGTGTCCTCCGATGGAGGAGATTTCTTCATCTGGGCGACCCAGATTTGTTGTCAGGCTCAGTGTGCCTGAGCCCAGCCGGCCCTGGAAACTCTGGAACCAATGCAGACAGCCTTTGATTGAGCATCAGATCTGTGGCCGTGGTTTGACTCCTGACAAATCTCTGGCTCCTACCTTCTTCCCCCGAATACAGAATATGGTAATTATAGCTATATTTGGGGTATCTTTCAGTCTAAATACAGCTATAATGACTGTACGTTGTATTCGGGGGAAGAAGGTAATCTACTTTTCCCAAGTTGGGCCTGACTCTTGATTTTCCAGGAGTCAACTGTCTCACATGGGGGCTAAGGTTGCCTCATTTGACACATTGGACCCCTTTTCCCGACTTGGGCCCGGGTCTTGATTTTCCAGGAGTCTAACTGTCTCACATGGGGGCTCAGGTTGCCTCATTTGACATTGGACCCCTTTTCCCAAATTGGGCCTTACTCTTGATTTTCCAGGAGTCAACTGTCTCACATCGGGGCTCAGGTTGCCTCATTTGACACTGGACCCTATTCCTATCAAGTTATTAACCCTAGCACTTTACTCATATCCCTCTAAGACAAGAGCCACGATTTTCGACCCCTGAATCTGGACTTGGACCAAAAGTTACTACCCTGGCCCATGTCTGTGCGGATTTTGAACTGAGTTCATCACAGATTGCACCCTGTCAGAAAATTGAAAATTCGTGAAATTTGGCTACGACCTTGGGTTGCAGACGACAGACCCGAACCCCGGGCTAAAAGAGAAGTGGTAAAACATCTTGAACCTAGTCCCCTCGATCCCGTTCACCATTCCCTGGACCAAATACCTTCTTATCAGGCACGTTAGAATCCGCAGCACGCAAAAAAAAAAAAAAAAGAATCCGCAGCACGCAATGGCTCCTAGCACACGCAGCCCTCCCGGTCAATCAATGGCTCCACAAAAGAAGGAAACACTCAAACCCAGACAGCTCAGAACCCTGCGTTTTGTGCAACAACAACATACCAGAAGATATCCCCCACTGCCTCCTCTACTTTCCTGAAGCGAACTGGATCTGGGACAAAGTTCGGCAACTATGGTCCATCCACTTTTCAGCGTCACCCCCAAACACTTCCCCTCTAACTATCCTACTCCTGTCAGGAAGTTCAAAGGCAGCGAGGAAGTCTGGTGCAATCTACTCAGAAAACTGGCTCTATGGGTCATATGGAAACGCAGATGCACACGGACAATCGAAGGAGCAGAGGTGTCAAGGGAGGAAATGTGGACTCTTCTGATAAGCATGGTGGAGACCGAAATTCGGGCCAGATGGAGGAAAATATCCTCATCCAAGATGCAGAGACCAGAAAAGCACGCATTCAAAAGACAAACATTCCTGATGAACTGGTTGTTAAAGGGCAAGATCGCCACCATAGCGGTCAACAGGCTGATATGGAAAAAGTGGCATCAAGCGTAGCCGCAAAGCAACGGAACACCACGTAATCTACGGAGGAGGAATAGTTCAACGAGCACAAGAACAAGCAGGGCAACGAGCAGGATACAATCGAGGGTTCAGATTGGAAGAGGGGGCCCTCTTTAATGAAGACAAGGAGTGCAGTCCCGAGAAGGACAAATTGAGGCTTTAGTCTCAGACGGACAGACATCTCTCCCAGTTTCTTGTGCTTCAACGCCTATTCGACAGAACCGACAGGGTTTCTGAGAGGAAAACTAGGGTAGGGCAAGCTGACAAGCGTGAGTGTGTATGATAATGTATTCAATTTTGACTTGCCGGGGGAATAGGAACCGGACTGACGCTCCCCAGAATGGATATGGAGCCAGGACCATAAGGACCTGTTTATAAAATAAAATAAAATAAATAATAAATTTAAAAAAACATAAAAAAAATTCACAAGTTCACAACTGTTTAACACAACTGCAGAGGAAAGCATCGTCATTGCCGACGTCCAACCCCCTAACTATTTCAACTGATTTCCACTGAAAAAAAAATCACGGCAAAAATCACGGTTTCGGAGGGAGTTAAATGAAAACCAGGCAACTCTTGAGCTTCCTCAAAGCGAAACTAACTTAGGGATTATAAAATTTATAATGATTAATTAATGCTTCCGACACACACAGAACAGACGCCGCATCATGTGGTATTTTTTTTTTCTGACACAAGTGCACACTAGAAGAAGGGCAATGGAAATGGCGAAAAGAAGGGAGGAAAACAAATTGATGCAACTCGCATTGCAATCAGGGATCAGGGGTGGTCATTGTTGGGAAGGGGAGGGAGAAGAGGGATACTATGGTGGGTGGCGTAGGATGCAGAGGAGAAGGGGAGCTGCAGAATGATGATGCACATGAGAGCAAGGGACATAACGTAGGGATGAATTGGATGTGTGCGGATGGCTGGTACGAAACAAGGCTATGTAGTTTTAGAAGCCAACGATTGCTCTACCTGCCTCGTGACTTTGGCAAGGAAGCGTACTGCTCTAATGAGCCTTCCCATCCCACCTGATTGACCAGCATTCATAAACACATCAAATACGAGTTAAGTTCATCTCTGTGTATAGTCTCTCCCTGATTGAACGGCATACATAAACAAATCAAACTACTCCTACGCAGTTCACACTCTCCAGCCCATATGGCTGAATGGCACACACATGAAACTGTTAATTAATAAACAAATTTAAACTTTAACCAAGTTTAACGCTCTAACTTTAACCACTCAGACCAGACAAACGCAGTAATGTCAGAGGCTACCCCCGGAAGAGAAGAAAGTAGTTCACCTATTCAGCCGGATTCGTCCATCAGGTTGCCCCGGCCAGAGTGACAAACTCCCATCTCAGCACAGAGTACCCCATTGAAACAGCATACAAAGTATGTAGTCGTGTCGGGGTAGCGGACGAGTATCAGACTTTGTATGCTGTTTGACAGTTATGGGACTCATGTGTGCTGATTCCAACAGCTCAGTGTGCCTGCTGTGACCGAGTCCTGAGGTAGCGATCTTTTATCTTTTCTTTTCTTTCAAGGCCGCAACTCTGTCGCAAAGTTTGCTACTCCATGATGAAGCACATGGGTGCTGAGTCTGCTGACAGAATACAGAGAATAGAAGCATCCAAAAGGCCTGGCTGATTCGAACATCTGGCCAGGCTGATTTCAACATGTCAGAGCGCCCATTGTAACAGAGTCCATATTTTTCTTTTATTTTTGGACCATTTCTCCAGTAATGTGTGTCATCCTAGCGCAGGGGCCATGCTAATCTTCTCTGTATCGTTCCAATTCTAACCGATGTTGCGAAGGACATACTGTAACAAAGTCCTGAGATGCCGATTCCCAACATCTCAGCGTGCCTGGTGAGACAGAGTCCTGAGGATGTGCAGGCCAGAGTGACAGAGTCCCACGTTTCGGACTTTGAGATGGCTGCCGTAGGGATGACTCAGAGAATAGGCAAACATCTTTGCTACATGGATCGATCTTTGCCGTTGCAGACTCTCTCTCTCTCTCTCTCTCTCTCTCTCTCTCTCTCTCTCTCTC